ACTGAGGGAATTCAGTCGTGGATTTGTCACATTAGCTCCTTGCTGGTACCTTCTGTATCACTGTGCCAGGGATATGAGGCTAAAGAGGAGCAAAGGAGCGTTTGTCTCTCTGTCCACAGTGTTATTCCCATCCATTTTTTCTTTTGAAAAAACTGTGTAGACAGCAACAGAATGAGTCCTCCTGTGGTATTGCAGCTTCTTACACTCCAGTGTCAAGTCTCATCTACAAAGGCCAGCATCTCTGTGGAAATGAGATATTTACCTGTGCTCAGCTGGAGCACATGTTGACTCAGTTTTAAGATGCTTGATGTTGTCAAGAGTCAGCTAAAACAGATGTTTTCATATTCCTGTTTCCAAAGCTTCTTTGATATTTCAAAGGGCCAGGCTGATGTAACTCTCCTTTGCATCACCTAAGTAGTAATAACAACAACAATAATAGATTTGACTACTTTTCAGTAGTCAGTATTTTTCAGGTGGGGCAGTTTGACTTCCCCACCTCCCTTTCCATTCCAGTATGTGCTTCCTGAATCCCAGCCTTCATGCTGGTTGAAAGCATCTTCTCCATCACTCTGTCATGGAGAAAAGCAGAAGAAAATGCAACCTGATAGAAAACTAACACAGCTACTCATTTGGCTTGTTTAAAAGCCAGACTCATGACTCAGCCTTTACCTTTTATGGGTCAGGAAATTCCAAGGTGCTCTTTTTTTGTTTTCCCCCTGTACTTTTAGGCAGACAGAGATCAGACTCTCTGTCTGATCTCACTTATTACAAGGGAAATCCACTACAGGCAAGGAGCTATTCCTGCCACACTTTTGCAAGAGAGAACTGCACCCATCCTACCTGAACTCCCTTTCTATTCTTAGTAGTCCCTGTATTCTTTGGCTGGCTACAGTCCTCAGTAAAAGTGCCAGACACATTAAATGGGATAAAATAAATCAGCCTATTTCCCAGTTTATTTATTCTAAGAAGACTGTAAAATGGAGTCAAATTGAGAAACCTGTTTACGAGGCTAAGAAGCATAAGGCAGGTATTGAGGAAGGAGTGATATTAAAGTGTTAGCCTAACACAATCTGAGGTCTTAACAGGAGTGTGCTACCTGTTTCCAGTCCACTGTGGATGATGTGGTTGCAGAGTGATGGATAGTGGCATTCACAGATATAATGTCCATGGAAAGTGAAAGGTAAAGAGAAAAATCATAGAACTATAATATTCAAGATCCGGAAAACCGATTAGACACAGAGAACCAAAAGCAATATGGCTTCCTTGTTTTATTGAAGAGAAGAGTCAGCAGTGATTTATGGAACCCTTGCATGTTTATGTGTCGGAAGGAGGTGCCAAACTCTCATCAGCCAAGCAGACATTGGCAGAAAGATGAAACCAGCAAACTCAGACTGAAAATAAGGCACAAACTTTTAATAGCAAATGTAACTGAACTCATCAAACATGAAGTGGATTTTCCATTGTTTGAAGATCTGAAATTGAAGTCTTTGAACTAGACAGAGAAGTGTATTTAGAGCCTCTGTTTATTGGGGTCAGTACAAGACTCCCCAGGATCAAACCAAATGCAGGATTGCAATGATCTCTTTCAGCACTGTCATCCGTAGAGGAATCCAAGAGCTCACAGAAGCCAAGGTGTAGGCTGCTGCCATCACTGAGTTCAACAAGGGCCAAAATGTCCCTGTCACTTGAGATTTAATGAAATAATCCTACACCCAGTCACAGCTCTAAGTGCACCGATGTGCCATATCCACAGAGGAATCACTATCAGAAAGATTTGCTGAGGCAACTGGATGTCTCAGCACCCCTGCCCTGGAGCTGCAGGCCCACTCCTTGATCCCTGTCTCATCCAAACTAAGACAGAGTGTCTGGTTTATAAGTGTCATAAGACAAACTCTCGCAAACAATGTGAGATGGGCTGTGGAGCTTCACACAGCCAGATGTCCACTCTCAATGTCTCCATCTTTGCTGACACACTTGACCACAGCATATGCTAAGGAATTCAATGAGGGCAGTGAAATATGCAGTGGAAACAGTCAAAGAAGAGTGAGATAACCAAATGTTTTTCTGGGGAAAAAAATCCAAATCCACACAGTGCCATTTCTGATGTCATTCTTAAAGTGTTCTTTCCCTTGATGTTGGAGTCTGATAACCCAGGAGTTTTGAACTCTTGTTCCTCCTCCATTTGCAAAGCTACTTTTGCTAGTCCTACCATCATAGCTCCTTTGTCTCTGAGCCATTAATCACAATTTGTATAAGGTATTAGCTGCCAACTCTACCTCTGAGCCTATTACCCTAGGCTAATCCATCTAGCTTCACCTTTCACTTCATGGAATCACAGAATATACTGAGTCGAAGGGACTCACCAGGATCATCCAGCCCTATACAAGACCATTCCCAAGAGTCACACCATGTGCCTAAGACTGCTGTCAAATCCTTCTGGAGTTCTGTCAGCCTTGGTACGGTGATCACTTCTCTGGGGAGCCTGTTCTAGTGCCCAACCACCCTGTGAGTGAAGAACCTTTTTCTAATATCCAACCTAAACCTCCCCTGGCAACTTGATGCCATTCCCTCAGGTCCTGTCACTGGTCACCACAGAGAAGAGATCAGTGCCTGCCCCTCCTCTTCCCCTCACAAGGAAGTTGTAGACTGAAATGAGATCTCCCCTCAGTCTCCTGTTCTCCAGGCTGAACGGACCAAGTGACCTCAGCTGCTTCACAAATTATTCAGAGATTTGGACCCCAAAGTCAGGCACTCAGTGGTATCCAGATGCAGATGAACACCAGCTGGGTGTCACAAAGATAGCAGGGTTTGTTTTAAGTTCCTCAGCAGAGAAAGAGAATCCCCGTGACTGAATGTTGACAGTGTACAAGGAAGGATGTGTGCTGGTGACAGCAAGGTGAGAGAGAAATATTGAAATAGAAAGAGGTAGAATGAATGAATAGAGGAGGAATTGAGGAAAAGGAGGGAAGGATATAAAGGAGGAAGAACAGAAACAGCCTGGAGGAACCTGACAGAAAACACAGTCCTCAGCCTGGTCTTTAGGATTTTGAGTCCTGGGAAGAGGCTATGGTAGGGGAGAAGGTGATGGAGGAGGACGACAGGACGTGGAACTTTCTTTAGTTTGCAGCCAATTCTGGTTGAATCATCTCCCACAGCAACTGTGGGTATCCAGGCTGTCACACAAATAATGTGTTCTTTTAGGGTTCCCTGATCCAGATGGTGTAAAACATTAAACTGCCCATGTCACATCTCGCAGCACAAAGGGATTGAAGTTGCTGTGAGAACAAGTGGTACTGGAGCACAGATTCCTCGCTCTCGCCATCCCAGTCACTGTCAACCACAGCCTTGAGCATTCAGTTGTGCCCAGTCTGGGGAGCAAACCCCACCACAGCACCAGGCCCCCAGGAGGGCTGGTTTAGAATCATAGAATGGTTTGGGTTGGAAGGAACCTTAAAGTCATCTAGTTCCAACCCCCTTCCCATGGACAGGGACAGCTTCCACTAGACCAGATTGCTCAAAACCCCTCCAACCTGGCCTTGAACACTTCCAGGGATGGGGCATCCACAGCTCTGGGCAACTTGTTCCAGTCTTTTACAACTCCCACGGGAAAGAATTTCTTCATAATATCTAATCTAAACCCACCCTCTTTTAGTTTAAAGCCATCCCCCCTTGTCCTGCCACCACATGCCTTTGTCGAAGACTCCTTCCCTGCTCTCTTGTAGACCTCTTTAAGGTGTAGAAAGGTGCTATAAGGTCTTCTCAGAGCCTTCTCCAAGTTGAACAACCCCAACTCTCTCAGCCTTTCCTCACAGGAGAGATGCTCCATCCCTCTGATCATCTTAGTGGCTCTCCTCTGGACTTACTTCAATGGACCCACATCCTTCTTATGCTGGGTGGCTGCTTAGGCTGGGGAACATGACCTGGCACACCTGAGTTCCAGGAGGTCCCCAAAACTGAACAGAGGTTAAGGAAAAATCTCAGTTCTGGTTTGGCCATTGCTGCCCAGCTGTGTCACATCAAGCAGAAAGGCTTGACTACTTTTAAATTTACCTTGACACTCTTTTAGCCCATGAATCACCTCTGGTGTTTAAGACCTGTAAAGCTGTTTAACACGATTTTCCCTTCGAAAACACTCATTTTCCTTATACTATCCTATTTCAGTTTAAGGATGAAAGAGACTTTGAATTCTTTCAAATTGAGGTTTAGAAGAATGACAGTAAATACTCTACCTTGTGCCTGAGTAAAAGGAGAAAAATATATCACAGACGGCCCAGCTAAAATCAGGTATGCATTAACAGTGATACAGGTGATCAGAGAGTTTGGGATGGGGTTTGAGTTCAGGGTGGGATTTGCACTCCCATGTACCTGGGCAAAATTTTTTATGCCCACTGCTGGCACAGGATAGAAGTATGATTGGGCCCAGGAGCTGATGCACACTCTTAAACACTCCACTGAAATCATGGGAGGGATGTGTGGCATGGCAGGGGATTGGTGATCTAGGGTTGCTCTGTAAAAAAAGGAGTCCCAAGGGAACTGGTAGACCGGCTCCCACAGGGTGTGCTTGCAGGGCAAATATCCTTTTGCTCTTCAAATGAAGCCACTCTTTTTTAAAAATCAAATAAATCACACATCTGTGCATATTTGTATACGTGTCAGCTCGTTAATCAAAATCAGTAAAGCCAGATCAAACATTTGTTGCTGTACATTGCAGGAGTCTGAAAACCATGAGCAACGTGAGGGGTGAGCTCTGAGCATTTCAGAGCTGTGCTAAAATCGCAGCGTGTTGGACCCCGGCGCTGCAGCTTTCCCTTTAAGAGCCCTTTGGCTCACGGCGATGCACTGAAATGCAGGAGGTGGGACAACACCACACACAAAAATGAAGAAGTGAAGGCAGGAAAAGTTTCTCCAGAGGAAAAATGCAGGGCTTGTCCTTCACCATGACGTCAGATCTGTCTTTAATAAAATCCCCAAAGAGCCAAGAGAAAAAGGCAGAGTGCCTAGGCTAGGTTGCCAGTTCAGGATTGCTCTGCATTCCCCAAAGTGGTGTTTTTGTTCAAAACGGCTCTAAATCTGGGTTCAATCAAATGTATTTAATCCCGGCTTCCAGGGATGAGGTGGCTTTTGCCCTGGATTCTAGCAGCAAGCAGCATTTTGCAGGTGAGTTTGGAAACTGCAGGAGAGACTTCTGCAAACACACTTGGGTTAAATGTGAGGTGGGCAGGGAGAGCTGAGTGTGGTGCATGTGGGAAGGTGGGCACTTGCAAAATCTGGGGAGGTGGGACATGTGACAGTAGGAAAGGAAAGGTGAGCTGTGGGGGAGAGGAAAGGAAAGGAAAGGAAAGGAAAGGAAAGGAAAGGAAAGGAAAGGAAAGGAAAGGAAAGGAAAGGAAAGGAAAGGAAAGGAAAGGAAAGGAAAGGAAAGGAAAGGAAAGGAAAGGAAAGGAAAGGAAAGGAAAGGAAAGGAAAGGAAAGGAAAGGAAAGGAAAGGAAAGGAAAGGAAAGGAAAGGAAAGGAAAGGAAAGGAAAGGAAAGGAAAGGAAAGGAAAGGAAAGGAAAGGAAAGGAAAGGAAAGGAAAGGAAAGGAAATTTCAGGAAAGGAAAGGAAAGGAAAGGAAAGGAAAGGAAAGGAAAGGAAAGGAAAGGAAAGGGAGAAGTGTGCAGAAATGTGTCAGAGTTGAGTTCTACTCAACATCCAGGTGGATCTGCACAGAAAACTGTAGGTTGTGTTTTTTCTTTTTTTATTTGTTTGTTTAGTTGGTTCGTTGGTTGGTTTTGTTTGTTTGGTTTTTTGTTTGTTTGTTTGTTTGTTTGTTTATTGCTACTAGTTGTGTCGTGGAGCAAAAGAAGGAAGAGATCCCCCGTTGCTGCCTGAAGAGCCAGGCTGAGGCTGGTGAGGGGACCGGGCTGGAGGGGAAAGGGCAGGTTCCCGACTGGCGGCGATGCCCGGGATGGGCCAGGGCCGAGGCAGCGCCGGTGCCGGTGCCGGTACCGGGACGGGGCGGGGACAGGAGCGGGGCCGGGAGGTGCTGCGGCCACTCCCGCAGGCGAGGAGCTGCTGCGTCTACCCCGGAGCCGGAGAGGCAGAAGGGTTTGTTCCCCCTCCCGATCTATCGGAGCTGCCCTCTCCACGCAGCAGCAGCCACTTTCCTTCCCCATCCTCTTTGGAAAAACCTGTCAGGGGAAGCCGCTCATTTTCCAAAGGTGCAGGCATTTTGCTTTGCTTTCCCGGTGCGTGCTCTCAGATTCGATGGAATTCTCGGGAGAGAGAGAATCTCAGTTTCTTGGACTGAGAGCTGCCGTGGGAAGGGGATGAGGCTCCGACGGGAGCGGGCAGCGCCCATCCCCGGCAGGGGAGCGGTCCCCTGTCCCGCGTTCCCGGAGGCAGCCCTGGGCCAAGGGATCCGTGGGAGTCCCGAGAGCGAGGGGTTCCTAGGGACCCCTTCGGGCTGCCCAGCTTGAGGCTGGGGAATTCCCTGAACCAGACAGACACGTGTAAGCTGTGTCTGAGCATCCCCCTGCTCTGAGTGGGATGATATCAACTACTCTGCTCAGGGGATTTTGCTTAGCAGGGCTGCCGGCACCAGGGGTTGGCTTCTGTGTTGAGAGATAAAGCAACGCTTTAAGACAGGAAAGTAGCACGGGTGATGTGGCACACCAGGCACACCTGTGCGAGAGCAGATGGAACAGAGATAAATCCTGTGTGGACGTTGAGATGGACTGATAACAGGGTCTCTTCTAGAAAACAACCACAACACAAAACTAACAGCAAACTGCTCCTCTTGGGCTTTCTGAGGGAAGCTGGCTCTTACCACAGTTGATTTTTGTCCAGCAAGTAAAAAAATCACAGAGGGAGTCGTCCACAAACTCCCCAAACACTGTTACTAGAGGATATCTGTGTGAGCCTTGTATATTGTACGGTGGTTGTCCTGGGTTCCCTTGGTATCAGAGATGTTTGTAAAAAAAGCTGCTGCAGCACGAAAATATGTGTGTGAGTGCATGCAGGCACATGTGCCTGCTGGGGGGGTGAGGAAGGGAGTGCAGTCCTGATATCCCTAGCTGCGTGTCTGGTCTAAAGAGTATCTAAAGAGTTCAAAATACTACCAACAGTAGCCTAAAAAGAGTCCTGGGTCTCAGCAGTTCCAGTTCCAGCTCTCCATCGAATTGAACAGGTGAAGCTGTGCCTCCCTGGAGCATTCAGGGACACTGTCACCTCCCAGACACATCCACAGGGTGTTGTACTTAAAAACTCCTGAGCAGGGACAACTTTTCCCCAGTAATGAACTGGTTTCCTTTAGGTCTTCTCCACACCTGAACTGGGGTGTGGTGGAGGGTTTATAGGCTGATGAAAGGGAGATTTCTGTCCATCACTCATAAGGGAATGGGGAAACAGAGATGACAAAGTGTATGGCATGAATTGGTGAGAGGGGCTGGGGACAGAACAACTGGGAGGTAGTATTTGCCTATGTAATACTTAAAGGACTTTTGGGAGAAGAGCAGGCTTAGTTTGATCTGATTAAGGGGGATGTCCAAAGGAACAAGTAATATTGAGATATTTTAACAGAGGGGTACTGGGAAAGCTCTAACACTACCCCACCTCACTGTCCTTAGTGTTCGTCTTTGCTGGCATACTCATAACAGTAATAAAGATCTTTCCAATGCTCCAGAGACATCCATGGAGTGGTAGCATCAGGTGACTGTGCATATTGTGCAAAGCCTTGTGGTCTCCCTGGGGACTTGTCACTCTTTATGTGTATGAAGAACTATGGACAAAAAAACATGCTCCACTGGGAAAGAGGAGAGTTGACTATCTAGGATATATATATTCTCGTTCCAGAAAGAAAGGCACAGGAGTCAATATGGGAAGGTCAGGCAGACCTTCAGAATGCCTTCTGAAAAGGCATTTCAGAAGGCAGCTGTCAGATTAAGCGTCCCCCAATACTGTATGAAGCTACAAGCAGTTACCGAGTTCTTAAATAGTTTTACCAACAAGGTTTGGGGTTTTTTTTAGATCGAAACTGCACAGGTGATGGGCTTGTAAAAGAAAAAATAACAGAGCATAGCTGGAATTTCAGACATAAGTTTTCAAACTTTTCTTAAAATATTTTTTTTCATAGATACAAGGGCAGAGACCATGGGAGCTCAAGTCCTGTCAACTAAGCTGAGATTCCTCAGAGCCCTGAGTCATTTTTGCAGCAAGGACTTTAAGGTTGGATGTGTTGACCCCTTTCAGTGTTATACAGTGAGGAATCAGAGCCAGAATCTTCAGCCCCAAGTCCTGATGACTCAGAAGAAGTGAGACCACTTGTTCAGATGGGACAAAATGTTCCAAACCAGGATGATGATTAGAAAAACAATTCTGCACTTAGTAGAAAATTAGTAAAGGACATTAGATAGAAAGAACAGCATTGGAGGTTTCTAAAATATTTGAAGTGGAGAAACGGGTGGTGTGTGGATATAAAAATGTAAAATAAATGATAACAGGGTGAATGGAAATCTGTAGACTTTTCCTCAAATAGTGAAGAATGGTGTTGCTCTTCATCATGTTAACTAGTAGGCAGGTATTGACTGCTATATGTGATGGCAGTCATGGTGCACAGACACCAGGCTTCTGGCTTCGGTGAGTGGGAGGGAGGAGAGAGATGTTCAAAGATGGTTTTATGTAGGCATCATCTCCTTTGTGGGCATGTAGTTCACTAGATAGTTACTGATATTGACCCAAGCTCAGGTTGTGTGGAAAGTGGTTTAAAAACCATAATGTGTGGGTTTTCCTTCTTTTTGTGAGGTTTATGTTTACAGATATAAAACCAAGGATTTAATTTGTAAAATACTTGGATTTGGTAGTAGGAAAAAATGATTACATTTCATTGGGCTCTTCCAGGCAAAACCACATTCTGACCAAACATAAACAACAACAACAAAAACAAAAAAAAGGAAGAAAAAAAACCAAAACAAAACCCCAAACAAACAACCAAAAAAAAAAAGAAAAAAAAAAAAGAAAAAAAAGTGACACCCTCTTGCCTGGAAAAATCTTGTGGCTCTCCAGTGGAGGAGAGCTAAGGTTTACCTGTTGAGTGCTTCTTATCAGAAGGCTACAGATTTTCATCATGGCTAATGATGCACAGATAATCTCAGGCAGCACAGGTTCAAAGTTTCTATGTTTTGTTCCTTTAACCTTCTCACCATTCCCTATTGCTTGACAGCATCTGGTTACCAGAGATAGTCTGGATACACTTCTCTATAGAAGGGCTCTTATCCTATGCTTACATAAATTGTAGGTGTCAATTGAAATTGCTCTGGTTATAGAAGCTGAAGATCCAGCCATGAAAATGAGCATCCTGAGGCTTGGAGCTGGAAGACAGAGTTCCCGTGGGTATGGCTGCATCGTATGTGGGGCCTTCCCAAAGCTGATCTTTTGTTTGGCAGTCCTCCCTCACACATCCACTCAAAGAATGAAATCATTGCTAAGGCAACACCCTGAAGGTAGCACTGAATGTGTTCATGTGGATCAGAGGCCCAAACCCAAGTCTATTTCTCATGAAGGTGCCTCCTAAGTACACAAACACGAACCTGTGAAGTTTTTGCTGAGAGAAGCAGGAGTTTGTGCATTTTTTTCACAACTTTTCCTACTGGTATCTGAATTTGCTTTGGTAGACATCAGCTGCCAGTGTTCAACAATCTCTTTGCCAACATCAACCACAACAGAGCTGGGGACAGGGATTGGCTTCCTCACCCTCCTTGCAGTTGTGCCACTGCCTGTTTGTGTCCCTTGTGTCTGTCCTTCCTCCCTTCCACACTGCACCTGCCTGCAGGTGAGGCTTCTCCGGGAAAAGACATTGTTTACAAGTGACAGCTGTGGATTTTAGCAAAAGCGTAAAATTTATATGATGACACTGGATGTCTGTCCTTTGAAAGACTTGTGCATGTTTAGTTTCTCCTGCCTTTTCTGGGTACTATGAAAAGGCAACATTCGAAAATTTCAGAAGTCCTCCACACTTGCATAGAACATTTGACTTCTCTTTTCAGAAGCTCTGGGCTCCCATATTGGGATGTTAAGAGTTGCTTTAGCATTTTACCAGTGCTCAGCTTACTGAGAACTGCTCTTTTTGGATGGTCTCAGTGTCCCAGAGGGGTCTTGAGCATTCCTGTCTGGACAGCCC